ACAGACAGCCCTGACAGAGAGGCTAACTGCAACCTCACAAAAGACCCAATGACAGAACCACACAGCTGATTTATTTCCATTTTACTTTCGTGTGTGTGTGTGTGTGTGTGTGTGTGTGTGTGTGTGCGCGTGTGGTATCATACCTCCTCCATGAAGTCATGCATCATATTCAGAGGTTGATGTAAGCTATCTTCCTCAATTGCTTCTCCACTTTATTTTTTAAAAGATGTCGGCACACTGACTTTATCATGTTTGTGAGGCTGGCCAGTCACTGAGTCTTCAGATGACGTCTGTCTTTGTGCCACCTGGGCTGCCATGCCTGGCTTTTATCTGGATGCTGGGGAACCAAACTTTGAAACTCACGATTGCCTAACAAGCAATTTACCCACTGAGGTATCTTCCCAGCTCCTGACTCTGACTCCTTGAGCCACAGAAACTGTGTGAGATGATAAATTATTCTCCACCTGGAACTTTCATATTTCAGGATAGTTGGTTATATATGCACATACCGTCTTTCAAAAACACCTTATAAAAATGGACAATTGTTCAGTTAGGATATAGTACATAGACATAGTCAGATCTTGAGTCCAAATCTATGTTTTCAAGGTCCAGCATATGTCTACTTTATCTCTGTGTCCTTAAAAGGAATATGTGGTAGAATAAAGCAGTTCCCATAAGGAGCCAGGACCTGGACCAGTCTTTGTTATAGTGTATGTTGTTTTCTTTTTTTCCTGAAAGGAGCCCAGAGAGTAAGAAGAACCCTTGGAAAATTGTATGTGGATTCTGGGTGACTATAATAAATATGCCCCTGCATCACCCAAGACCCCTAACAAAGATTACTTTTTAGCATTAAAAACTGTGGAGCAAAATTAGCCCATAATGTCCCCGAACACCTAACATTTATATTTCCACCCCCACAGAAATACTTTTCAAATGCTGCATTTTTAATACCCCTATAGCACAGTCTGGAAAAGGCATATGGGAGGCAACAGTCTCTGCTGTAAGTGCTACTTTTCTTGTCTTTCTAGACACATTTTCAGTGAGCTGTGGGCTCGCCTTCCCAGCTACAGACTAAATCATAACCTATGTCTCATTTTTCTTTTCCCTCTTTGCATTTGTGAACATTAGGATCAAGCCTTAGATCACGCCTTCAGATTTATGAAGACAGTGATCCATCATCCACACCCGAGGAGATTCTTTGCCTACCTCGGACTGAATTCTCTCAGAATTTTACCTTCTGACCACCGTTAGACCTGTTTTTCTCATCTTGCACCACAAAAGCCCAACTCCCTTTCTACTTTTTCCAACAGCATAGCTAGGAGAACATACATGGTGGGGGAGGAAAGAGGGGAGGAGGGAGAGAAAGGGAGAGAGACAGAGAGGAGAGGCTGCTGGGGTTTTGATTTGCAATAGTCTCCTAATCTTCATGATTATAAGCATGGGCATGGATGCCATTATGTACACACCTGATATTATGGTGCCAAGCTCCATGTGCTGACTCCAAAACTGCATATAGCAAATCCAATTATATGGAAACTTAGAAGAATAGAATAACATGGTGGGTCAGGCTGACTTCAAACTCAAGATTTTCTTTTCAGCTCCCAGGTGCTAAGATTATAGGCGTGCACCACCATTTCTGGCAAGATATTGTTAAGACTTTCCCTGTAGTCACTCCTCTGTGTACTCTAGCACACTGGGAAATTAGTCTTTAAGACTGCAAATACATTATAGTCCATTGTAAAGCATTTCAAGGGAAAACTTGTTTATTCCTGATTTTCACAGTACACTTTTTACCACACTTATTCTTTTTAAAAATCAGTTATTAAATAGATCTGACTTAATAGTGACTAACATCCTATGTCTCCTGCCTGAAATGCTGTGTTTGGTTGGAGTGCTGCTGGGTTTTTTGTATTTTTTTCTCCTCTAAATTCTTCCCGGAGTCATTCTTTAAAAGGACCGGTTGAAAAGAGAGCTATGGAATCAGCCATTGTTTTTTGGTTTTAATCACCAGCACTGTTTTAAAGTCAAGAAGCTGGAGGAATGGTAGATGGATATAAAGAACAACATTAGTTTCCATTTCCATCTTTCAAAAAACTATTTTAAAAATATCATTGAAAATTTTTTGCTACATCTAATTGGCAAGACCTGTATCACAAAAACATTTACTTATTCTAAAATACCATCATGATTCATTCATAAGGGAGCAGGAGAGAATGGATGTCTAGAAAGAAATTCACAGGTTAGGCTGATCTGGGTGCATGTGGTCAAATCATCAATACTTGTGCGCTTGTGTTTCCTTAGACACAAGAGCAAAACTCTTGACTCCAAGTTTCGGGTGTCAGGAATGGTCAGTGAGAAAAGAACAAAGCGATTTGCTGGCTCTATGGCTGCCTGGCCCACAACGTCAGTCAATAAACACCTCACTGCTATTCTACAAAGAACAAAGAGCTAGATAAAGGTGATAAGAAGAAGTAATGTTTTGAGAAGTTAGGAGGAAGGGATCCAGGTAGGCCATTCTGCTCAGAAACCACTGGAATTTCCCAGGGAATGAATTTAAACATTTTTGATGTCCAATTTAGTATCCTTCATTTGTTCCTTCCTTTGAGTTTTATGGAGAGCCAGGGCCCTCTGGATAGGATACATTTGAGCTCTTGGACATTTCTCAGTACACTGACAGGTACATCCTATCCTATACCCTCGCTGATAGTCCATGGTCCTTTCTTCCCTTCTCTGCTTGCACACATGTTGTAAATGCCACTAGGAATGCCCTGTCTTCTTCTTTGTCCCTATGATTTCAGTGTGCTTCTCAACACCTGGTTCAGGCATCAGGTTTCTAGGAGGCCCTCTGTTAAGGTTGGGGTCTGAGCTGTTTCTCACAGTCTCAAGATTTGAATGCTTGGTACCTGTTGAGCCTGTAAGAAGTAGGGTCTGTCCAGCAGAGACAAATCATTGGCCTCTTAAGGGTTATAGCTCTCTCTGATTCTGGCCCTTTCTCTTCATTTCCTGTCTGTTGATACATGACGATGGAGTGTCGTTTCTACAATCCTACCACCATCTCGTCTCTGCTATGATGGACTAAAGCATCCTTGAAACCACAAGGCAAAAGAAGCTCCTCCTCTGGGAAGCTCCTATTGGCCGGTATTTTGTCACAGTGATGAAAGCAGTCAATATCCTTATATGTAGTAGTAATTCACTCAATACATTATTCTTTATGACTCATGGTCCCTTTGGCTATTCCAGTGAGGACCACCGTCCTCACCCCTACACCCAGAATCTAGACAACTCTAACAGTTGTCGCAACTTAAAACATCTGCTTTGTTGAAGCTTCTTTGCTTTTAGTTTGAACCACATAAAATTGGTCTATCTAGTGGCTTTTTATGTCTCAAATTAGTATTCCCTTCACATCTTCTCACACTAAAAACAACTAGCCGACACACTGGTTAGAAGAGATATTAAAGGCTTGAATTAAAATGAATTTTTGCATTAACAACATAGTCCAGTGATTTAAAAGTTTAATATCACCCAGATCATTAAAATTTGAAAACAGCTAATAATTTCAAGCTTTTGCTGTGGAGTTTTTAAAAACCCTAAAGTGATACTTAGATACATGTGTTTATACAGTCATGTGTGAAACCATACGTAGTGTCTTTCCTCTGGCTTTCTTTTCCATTTCATTCCTTCTAAAAAGAAACTTGATGCTCTGATAATTTAATATACATTCAGCCACAAGAAGGAAGCTGGATTGCAGTTCTGTCCATATTGTCAATACTTGATGGCCTATTCGGTTATAAAACTTGTCTTCTTGTGGGCTCTGCCTCACTAGATAGGTCTACTTCTATTGTATCTGCAATGAGTGACTTTGGTTTGATTTGCACACACTTCTGTAGACTTAGAATTAAAGTAGCATCAATGGTGTTTAATGGTTACATGAAAGTAGATTTTCAAAAATCTGCGCAAAGTTAATTACCCCACAGGAGGACTAAGCTTGCCCTCGGTAACCAGGAAACAAGAACAAAACCAGGTGTGCACATACCCCCTCTGAAACAAAACTGATAAGAAAGTCTTTCTGGTGATCAAGTTGAAGAAAAGTCAGTGGTGATGACGGGAGAATCAGAACTCCCAAATTGCTTCCTTAGAGTTCTTTTGCAAAGAATCTTAAAAGGAAACATAAACATGGAGGGTGGACCAAAAAAAGTGACTGGATTTCATCACAACAGGCAAATGTGAGCTCAAATCCTTTAAAGTGTTAGCTCACTCTGGAGATTCCCAAGACCATTGGCTTATCCCTTCTAGGCATAAGTGAGTCTATATTTTTTGGATATGGGAGAAAACTACCGAGGAGTTTAATTTCATCAGTATCTGCTAGGTCAGAGATTCGGCCATACACGTGATTCCCTTTTATTCAAGGTCACGTTGAAAGAAAGTGAACTGTGCAGTGTTACTTGTAAGACTATCACGGGAGGTCAAGGGACTCCCTGGCCAGGAACGTTAACAGAGAGCCTCTCACTTTGGAAGCCAGCTGTCCCATGCTTTGGTGCCCTCTGATGTAATCCCATCAGTCCCTTAAGGATGCTGCCTTTGGGAGATTTTAAAGCCACTCTCTCTGCATCCGTCTTTACCCTGAGAACAACCAGGAGGATCAGAAGCCGACTGTGCTGCTGGGATTCCCTACAACCCAAACATTACGGGATGCATAGGAGCAACTTTCAATGCACCCTGTGCAGCAGGTCCCTGGCTCCGGAGGGAGGGGTGGGGGTGGGGTGACACCGCTGCTCTCCTTGCTGAACCCGAATGACGAGGGTCCAGTGGCCCAGCAAGAGGACACAGGACCCACTCAGTCGCCCACAGCCCTGTTTTTTGCCTGAAGACCTCTAGGTGCCCAATAGCTTTCTAATTGACAGCTAAGGTCTGTCTCAACCGCGGGTCCCTCCTCTCAGAGCCAAAAGAAACCAGGCGCATGGCACTCTGGGAGATGTAGTCCTCTCAAATGCCAGCACTCTCAATATTCCCTCACAATGGCCCCAGAAAAGAGGATAACCAGTCTGGTGCCAAGGAATCGACATCTCCAGTCTCATTGTGGCGTCAGAATTGAGCTCCAAGAGCCGCTTGGGCGGCTTCTCGGGTGGAGGCCGAAGAGAACGGACTACAACTCCCAGGCTGCTTCGCGCGGAGCAGGAGCCGGCAGCTCGCTTTGCGTGACCGCAGCAGGTTGGTCCTGGAGCAGATGAGCGCAGAATATTTAGGCGAAAGCGAGAGGAGGGGGGGAGCGCGGGGAAGGAGGAGTACCTCGGCCAAGAAAATTATGCATGCGTTAGGCAAGCTCTGAGAGAATGGCTGTGGAAGGTAAGGGACGCTTGGGGCGTTTTAAGCTTCCCTCTTAACCCGCGCACCCCAATCCACACATCCCTGATGAAGCCCGGAGGGGAGGAGAGAAAGAGGGGGTGGCGGCGAGCGGGCCCCTTCCCCCTCGAACCACTTGGTACTCACCTGAGCCCTGCAAGGCCAGGAGGCACTCGCCTTTGAGGGACCCCTTAGGTGCGCGGGACTTCAGGCTAGGAGAGGAAGCAAAGAGCGCGCTCTCCGTCCTGAGCAACCGACTGGAAATGGGTGGGAAAGCGGGCAAGTCCAGAGCGCGGGTTCAGCCCTGACTTGCCCCTTTCCCTGCCAGCGAGGGTAGGCTGGGTGGGCACCTGGCTGGGGATGCTCGCTTTGCCACCCAAACCTGGGAGAAGACCCTAGCCAGGTGCGTCATCCGGAAGGTGGGACCGCCACCGGGGCGAGGACCCCTTGCTGTGCGTCCCCAGCGGGGGGCTGCAGCAGGTATTAAGCCCCTAGAGTGAGGGCGGCTTCGCACCTGTTTCCCAGCAGGTCCTGCCCAGGGTTAGCAAAAGTTCACCGCATCCAAAGTGTGGCCAGCCGCTTGGATTTGGGAAATTCATTTCTTTGAAGACTGCCTTCCTCTTTCCTCGAGCGATTTCTGAACTTCTAATTTGCCATTTTGATTGCACAGACAGAACTGCCTCTTTGGAACTTTCTGGTTAGGAGTTGGGTCAGGCAACTTTGGAGGGATCCGAGGTTTCAAGACACCTTCCCTTACTTTCGAGCGCACAGACTTGTGGTTCAGGGTAGATCCTAGGGGGAAAGGGACACGTGGACAAGAAGGGTTTCTGATGTCAAATCAGTGCCTCTATAAGGAGATGAAATAGGAGTGCGGGGTGACAGGGGGAGCCTGCCTTCACTGCCAGACTCATGGTTTCTGAGTGCACTTAGGGCTAGAGGGGACCAGAAGTAAGAAAAAGGAGGCATGGCTGCCAGCTACTTCAGGTTGCTTGCCAAAGGGAAAGGAGCCGGACAAGAACAAGAAAACCCCACAGGGTTCTTGCTTCTGCCTGGCCTCTCAGCCTCAGGAGACAGAAGGTGAACTATTCTGATCCTTAATTTAAATAGCAACAGCCAAGCTCACACATTCAACCCTTGTAAACTCAGGAATGGTGGCCTCTGCGCCATCTCAGGATTAGAGTCTCAGCCTTTACTTTCAGTTTCCTCAAATGTACCAACAAAAACGAGGACCTCCCCAACATGCAAAACCCTGCCCTTCTTTCAAGTAGTCAAGTAGGTAAGTAGGTAACACACAGGTAGAGAGATAGGTAGATCCATAGACACATGATAGATTATAGGTAGATATGGACATAGATGATAGATAAGTACATAGATGATAAAGATGGAATACAAATAGATAACATAGGTAGATAGATAGATAGATAGATAGATAGATAGATAGATAGATAGGTAATAGGCATTCCACAGAAACAGAAAGCCAACATAGAATCTACCAGTGAGCTTGAGAACAAAGTCTGTTTATCTTCTGCCACATTTTCACCTTACCCATCAGGTGACTTGATTATGATCTCTCTTTTGTGTCCCCAACTGAGGGACACTCCCTCCCACTTGTTGGCAGTCCATGGTGTTCTTAAACACAAGTTCCTGTTCACTCTGAGAAGCATATAATTGAATTAGTCATATTTCTTGCCTTGTGGGAGATTGCATCGGTAAAATCAGACCTTACCAAAACAAGGAATCTGAAAAGTTCTCGTAGATGGCTTCAATGAGCTTATTGTGTGTCCTGGTGACTTCCTTGACTGAAAAATCTCTGTAATAAACAGGAGGCCTTGGCCCTGAATCACAGGGACTGGAGTAGATGGGTGAAGGAAGTGCTTTAAACTTTCTCTAGGAAGGATTCCTACCTGCAGTTTTTGCCAGGAAAGCTCTTTCAGCAGGAAGTAGGCCCTTCCTGGATACTTCCTTTTGGTCCTTCAAGGCTCAGGAAAGATTTCCTCCAGGAACCTATTCCAGACCTTTCACGCTTCTGTCTGTCCAATCCAAGGGGACCCCCTGCTCTGATCTGCGGTACCACAGGGCTTAAATCTACCCTACACTCCCCCACAATATGTCTCTTGCCAGACTCAGAGGTGTTGGAGGGATAGAGACCATAAACTCTAGTTTTCCAGGTATTAGCAAAGACCTTGGCCCATAGCAGGTCCTCCAAAACTGCCAGTGGATTTGCACAGCAAACATTTATAACTGACTCCAAAAAGGTGTCCAAATGCCATAAAAGGGAAGTTTTGAAGTATTTATTCAAGGAAGGGTCCTCTTCTTCAGCCTCAATGTTTGAAGACTCAAAGCTACTGTTTTCATCTGCTGCTCAGAGTGGCATTGACCTCCTAGTACCTGATGGCACTCTTAGAATTGTGTGCCCTTGGACCATAAAGGTGCTAAATGTCTTACTCTGTATAACCATCACATACAGATGTCCCAGGTCAAGACCAAACATTGACCAGTTTATACATGCTCACTGAGAAATAGTGAGTCAGGGAAAGAGGAATCTTATCAGAGGAACTGGACAGGAAATCAGTGTGTGATAACATCTGGGCTTCCATGTCTCTGTAAGAGAAACCTGGGCTTGCTACTGTTTGGTGATTGGGAATAGTGTAGACAGGTCTCATAGAAGGGTGCCTAGAACATAGTCTAACTATAAACGTTGCTTGTACTCACTGCCATCCCTCTCCTTTAAGAGAAAGTCCTACTGCTTAACACCTGCTTCACACCCTCATGTTTTACTTATTCATGCCAGACACATTCTCTAATTAGTGACGAATTAGAAGGCTTTTATAACGCGTAACCCTCCTCTTAAGTAAACTTGAGCTTGTAAAAACTGTTAATTGCAAGTAGGGCCCTTACTCATTTTGCTGAATGTGTGGCTTCCTATTTAAGATGCAAAAGGGGGCCCTTTGTTTAATGTTTTATGACTACTGTGATACACACACACACACACACACACACACACACTCACCGCATATATCATGTTGAATTTAAGAATGTCCTATTTGTTTCTTAGCCTAATTGTGGCCTAGTTGTGGCTTTTGCTTTGCTTTGCATTTATGGGTGCCTGGGCTTTTATATATCTGCCTCAGATATTAATGTCTTTTGTTTAGGTCTTGTGTTTAGCCCAGTGTGTAGCCTCTATGAATAAATGAATGGATGCATGGGTGGATGATTGACAGGTGATCAAATACTAATTGGCACTATGAGTTGTTTTATTTCTGTACTTATCCCCAATGGGATAGGATACTGTAGTGTGGTCTGCATTGTGTTGAGATTGTATTATCATGCCGACTCTTTTTAAATGGAGAAGAAGGACCTCTAGTCACCCATCCTCATGGATAGAACACACGGGCAGTTCTACTTATTGGTGTGATTCTGTCCATCAGAAACAAGTTGTAATAATATGCTGGAAAAGGAGGAAGATGGAAATTCGTTAGAGCAGGCAGTGGTAGATTTGTCTCTGTGGTCTATGAGCAGTGCCTGGCACATAGAAAACAATGACTGTTTCATGAATAAACAAGATTCCTCAGAGCTAGAGAAGAAGAGTGTTTCTCCCTGTCCTTGGATCCTTCTCTACTCCTTTATCCTTAGAGCTTTTTGACAAAGTGGGATGAGTGAGCATTCTTCTCTCCATGTTTCCACGGCAGGCAGGTCAAACAGAATAGCTCCTCTTAAATGGCAAGGAAATGACTTGCAATTTTCAGCACTAGAAGCTCCCCTCCCATCAAGGAAAGTATTTCAAATGGAAAGCTGTGTGCTCTAAATGACATCTATGATCTGAAATTTCGTTCTTAACTGATGGTACATTTGTCGAGTGACTTCTTACCAGTCATTCAGATTCAGTAGTTTTTCTGAAGTAAGAAGGAAAACACTGCTTGGGAGAAAAGGTAATAACTGGAATAGAGGAAAAGAACAGACACTTGTAGCAAAGAGAAGCAGACATGAACTAGTAAATGCAGACTCTACCTACCCACCCTGATTGGAGAACTAAACCCCTAGAAAGGAATAACAGTATGAGATAACAATGCCACTGGATGAGATAATAAGTTCACACTGCTCTGTGGGTGAACTTACACTTGTAGAGGCACCCCCCTCTCTCACTGACAGACTGAGAGCAGTAAGAACTGACACCCATAGCTTCCAGGTGTACCGCAAATAAGAGGAGAGCGGTCCAGAGTGACTTTCACAGGCATGCGCAGATTACTATCCCCTGTCTGCCCCTCCCCACCCACCCCTAATAGGAACCGTGACTGGAAGAAGAGAACCATTCTAATGAAGCCTCCCTGTGCCGTGAAATGGGGAGGTGGCTTCCCTGCCCTGTATGCCCTTCAATGCTATCCCACCTGGTCTTTTACAACTTCTTTTCATTCTGTCTTATGTGTAGTCTCTGAATGAATGGAGGAGACACGAGTGAATTGCTGAGTGGGATTATGAATTGTTTGTATCCCATACCCGCCTTCATGCTGAAGAGCTCCCAACTCTGTTCCCCCGTGGAAGGAGCAGTGAGAAAGTGAACAGGCTTCCCTAGGTTGTCTCAATGCCAACTTTCCCAGCTCTCTTCCAATACACATGCCATCCAGGCTTCCTTCTTTCTTCCTTTTTGCTTAGCTTCATTTTGTTTTCCAGTCCATCCCATCTGAATTACCTGTTGATCGCTGTTTCTGGAAATAAGAATGCTGGCTGTTACTCATCACTGAAAATTCCTGGGGAGTGGCTCCATGAATAAGAGACAAGGCCTCAGAACCCTGACTGGAAACTTGCTGTGGCAGCGGCTCCTGCCACTCCCATTGAACTTGCTGCTGGGCTCTCTCCTTCAGTCTCAGACG